CCAGTTGGATTTCAGGTTCCATGGTAGTGATGACAATGTCTGAATGCCTGCTGCTGCATCTCCCTCTTATATCATTAAGAAAAAGCTGTGCCCCCCCCACCCCCTCACCTGACTATGACCCACTTTCAGTTTCTGTCTTACTCTGACTAGCGATATTATTAGATTGCTTGGGTAAAGGATCCGGTGAGATTGGTCATCTATTCCCGGAAGGGCCAGCTACTCAGTGCTCATTCAATATATCTTCACTGACCATGCCTTCCTGCCAATGGGTTGTATTAAGTTACATGCATATAACGTCACGATTTGTGCGTAGCGGCCATTTTACCAGGGAATGTCGGCGATGTCCGTCGCACAGATGCATAAAGTTCTGTATTTCTTTTCAATGTTAAAGAAAATTTCATATAAACGAAATGTTTAGCGAGTGCTCAGGGCTATGAAAAGCTGTATTTTGTTCAGGCAAATGGGACTGAGGCATTTCTTCATTTCATTTGAAGGAATTAAGTAATCTACCACACAGTTAACCATAAAGTGTAAATGCAGGCGCAATGAGGCACCGTAACGCTTCCTTAAATTATCATAATGTGTGAATTCCCAGCTTTGTCTTTCAGTAGGGTGCCGAACATAAACTCAAAGAATACAACCTTATTGTAGATATACACTCAAAAAATACAACCTTATTGTATTTGTGAATGTGCTTTGCTTTGGGTTGACACAGTGTCCTATCTAGTGCCCACAGCCTCTGGGATAAGGTCTGGACTAACCCCCCCCACCTAACCCTGAATATGAAAGATATATAATGGATAGATATATAATCTGAAAAAAACATTTCAAATTAAAGAGACAAATTTCACAGCATGCCAACAAATTCTACATCAAACATGGATCATAAAACTGCTGAACATCCTCTCAATAAAAAACTACAGTGATGTGAAAATGAAAGGATGCTCATTCATTTCTGTGGTTCTACATAAAAAGAAAGACATCTCTAGTGACAGATTGTCACACCTCCCCCTTGTGAGAATATCGGCTCGGTCACAAAGAGAGCCGCACCTGTCTAACTTCCTTTTTAATCCTGGGTGACCTCGCAGATGATGCGAGAAATTATCATTCCCATGTGATCACTTACTGAGCACTTTCTCCTGTACAGCCCTGACCCGAACTGCCCTTTCTGTTCCTGTCCCTGCTCATCAGCCCGGGATCCCTGCCCCGTGTCAGAACCTGACTAGAGTCCCCGTCACCGTGGGATCGATTTCTCTGGCTACCAGACATTTCTGCTCCATGACTCAGACACCGTCTCTGCCTTCCGATTCTGCTTTTGCTGCCTCAGTTTAAATAAAGCCCAGCTTTTCCTGGCATTGACTTCTGCTCAACTGACTTCTGTTGTGACAGAGATAACAGATAACAGACAGAATGCTGCTTTGTCTTCCTTTTTCCCAGTTTCTTAATTATTCTGTATACAAGGTGCAGCAATGTATTACATCACAGCCATGTAAAGCTCCTTAGGGCAGTTCAGTTGTGAATCAGAATTAATTGAACTAAATTAACATGCAGAAAAGAATTACTTCAACTTATTGCTGCTAGAGATGGTTCTTCATGCTATGTACTTACTTGACATACAGAAATCTGTTTTGTGTCCCGATATATAAAACTGCAGAATTCACAGAGGGTGCAATTACTTTTTCACTGTACATTTTATACACACATTTCATTTATGCGTCTTGGCATTTGTGGAAGATTGCGTGAGGCAGCTGCTGAGTCCTGGGATGAGGCCCGATACACTGTGTGCTACACAACTTTTGCGAGCAGATACTGTGGCAGGTGTTTCCAGTGTTTAGTCCAGCCTGGGGGAGGGGGGGGGGGGCACATTCCCGATATGGTGAAGATTTCTCACTGCTTCCAGTTACTCAAGCCCAGTCTGAGGACTCGCCTAACAGTTGGCACACGCAGTGAAGGGTCAAGGGTACAGTATTAGGAATTTTTTTGCCACTGACCCCTTTTGCCCCACTGTGTTGGAGGCAGTGGAGCAGACCTCTGAGGCTCTAGATGAGGTATCGGTGCAGGTCTGAGGAGAGTAAGGCTGGGGTTGGACACCATTGAACTGTAGTGCAGTGTAATGTCTGGGGGGGGAGGGGTTGGACACCATTGAACTGTAGTGCAGTGTAATGTCTGGGGGGGAGGGGTTGGACACCATTGAACTGTAGTGCAGTGTAATGCCCAGAATGTCTAGCTACTCCTCTGGATATATGACATAGTAAAGAACCATGTGTTTGTTGCCATCATCCTGAAGTGGTTCCCTCTGAAGCGACCCAAGCTTTGCTTGAATTACATAGCAAAGATTTGTTTATCGATACTGATACATCAGTCAGGGATGTTTCCAGGCCTTAAACACATGCACACACACACACAGACACACACACACACACACACACGATTAAGTATCTGCATCATTGTTGGTAGTCTCCATTCATTTCTATGGGCATAACCCTTACCCAACTTTAATCTTTACCACGAGTCACCAAACAAAATGCAAGTCTTTTGACATTTTTGATTGCATTTGTTACATTTGCAGCATTTGGCAGACGCCCTTAGCCAGAGTGACTTATATAAGTGCTTAGAAGTCTCGTCACTGAATATATTCTGATTCTGGTTCAATAGAACCTGTCTAAGAATACTATCACTCTAAAAACTCTATTGGGAAGAAATACAATTGTTTTTATAATGAGTATCATCCTGGAAGAGCTAATCCAAGTACTGCCAGATTCCATCCGTCTATATTATGTGCAAATTACCCCAAGAAGCAGGTGACGTCCTGTACAGGCTGCCAGCCAAACATGATGATTATTTTTAACCACACAATTACACAACTGCTCTTTACATTTATTCTTTGCCAGTTTTTAAGAATATTTTATTCTATTTTGTAATATTGGTGGAAAACTCATGTGGGAAGAATGACAAAGATTATACTGTATTATTTCATGAAAAATTTTATGACATAGACAATGTGACTTGGTACTTAGCCATCTCTCAGATTTGACTTTCCATGTCGGCCCGAGGAGGATGGGCTCCCCCTTTGAGTCTGGTCCCTCCCAAGGTTTCTTCCTTCTTGGGAATTTTTCCTTGCCACTGTTGCCTCTGGCTTGCTCACTGGGGGCTTTGGGCAGGGATGCTGTAAAGCGCTTTGAGACTTGCTGCTAATCTTTAGCCATATGACTGAACATAACAAAAAGAGGTCAGACTTTGCTTCAATCTGATTTTATTAGACGTCTTTACACAAAACAGACGCGTTTTGGCGTAATACCTTCTTCAGTGAGCTACTGACCACGTGCAGTTCCCATTTAAAAAGATTCATCCCTGTGGGACAACCAATGATACCAGAACAAGTGTAAAGGTCACCACCAGGGCATCAGCAGGCCACAGCGCAAATAAGTGGGTTTACAGTAAATTGCTGCCAAAAGTAATCGGCAATATGTATATTATAGATCATATGACATCATAAAAAACAGTTTATGGAAAAATCCTGTCATTTGGTGCTACTGTAATTAAGGCAATTTTATGATTATCTTAATACTAGTTTGCCTTCCATAAAATTTACTTTAAAATTTGTCAATAATGTTATATAATTATAGATGTATTAGTGGGACAACCAATAGCCTACCATTAAACTCCAGTGTGAACAGAAAGCTGGGTGGTGTCAAGTCTCAAAGGAGGAATAGTCCATTACAGCTGGACAGGGGGCAACTTTGTCTATCCTGAAAACTGTTGGTAAAAATGCAAATAATTGATCCCTGTGGGGAAATTCTCTTTACACCTCCCCCAACTTGCTCTTTGTAGGGATGATTATGCTGGCTGTGAAAGGCAGCCACCTGTTGTGGCACCCAGGGAGCTGGGGGTTAAGGGCCTCGCTCAAGGACCCACAGATGTGCCTAAGCCAGACTCAAACCAGTAACCTACCGGTCACAGGCTTAGCCCACTGAGCCCCATGCTGCCCCCAAGGCAAGTAACACATATTGCTATAATATAAATGATCATTTATCTTATATCCATAAACCTTTGGAAATTCTGTATTCATGAGGCCCCTAGTTTTCGGGAGCCCCAGGCAGCTGCCTGCACCGGCCTTATGGTCAGCCACCCCCCCTGGAATCACACATAAAACAGCAGTAACTGTCCAGCTGTCATCAGGGTTGAATGATTTCCGAACCACTCCCTTCACAGAGTACATTGAAGAGCTGTCAGACATAATGACGTCTGACTAGACTTATGGTGACCAGCAAAGCGACATTATAAATCACACCTTCATGCCGACATATTTCTGCCAACTTTGTCTTTTCTTATGGCAACTAATGAATGACTCATTTTTTTCTCCATCGGCAC